TCATTCTGTTGTTTTCAGCCCAGCATTCCAACCTATGAAGATCACCTTGAATCTTCTTTCTGTCTCCCAGGGTATTAGCCATCCCACCCAGTTTTGCATCCTTTGCAAATCTGATACTTGTTCCCTGAATTTCCTCATCCGAGCAATTAGTAAAAATGTTGAAGAGCACTGGGCCCAAGCTGAATCCTGCAGTACCACACTTGTTTCCTTGCCCCGGTTTCAGAAGGTGCCATTGATTAGCACTCTTTGAGTCTGATTCTGTAGCTAACTGTGGATCCACTGGATCGTTGTTCCATCTAGCTCACTTTTAGCTAGTTTGCTAATCAGAATACTGTGGGGCACTTTTCCAAAGCTTTGCTGAAGTCATGATAGATTCACAGCATTCACACAGTCCAGCAGGGAGTTTACCCAATCAGAAAATGGAAGCAGATTAGTCTGGCAGGATTTATTCTTGAGAAATCCATGTTGGCTTCTTGTAATCACTGTCCTGAGACCATTTGGTAGTGGATGGTATACAAAGGTTTTAAATAAATAAATAGCCACTATGTTTTTTTGAACCACTGATTGGTTCAAAATTGAGAAAGGAGTTTGGCGAGGCTGTATACTGTTGCCCTGCCTGTTTAACTTATATGCATAGCACATCATGAAAAAGGCGGGGCTAGATGAATCACCAGTTGGAATTAAGATTGCTGGGAGAAATATCAACAACCTCAGATATGCAGATGATACCACTCTAATGGCAGAAAGTGAAGAGGAACTAAAAAGCCTCTTGATAAGGATGAAGGAGGAGAGCGCAAAAGTTGGCTTGAAGCTCAACTTTAAGAAAACTAAGATCATGGCATCCGGTCCTCTCACTTCCTGGCAAATAGATGGGGAAGAAATGGAGGTAGTGACAGATTTTACTTTCCTGGGCTCCAAGATCACCACAGACGGGACTGCAGCCAAGAAATTAAAAGACGCTTGCTCCTGGGCAGGAAAGCTATGGCAAATCTAGACAGCATACTAAAAAGCAGAGACATCACCCTGCCAACAAAAGTGCATATAGTCAAGGCTATGGTTTTCCCAGTTGCAATGTATGACTGTGAAAGCTGGACCATAAGGAAGACTGAGCACCAAAAAATTGAGGCCTTTGAATTGTGGTGCTGGTGGAGACTTCTGCAAGTCCCTTGGACAGCAAGGTGATCAAACTGGTCAGTCCTAGAGGAGATCAACCCTGACTGCTCTTTAGAAGCCAGATCCTGAAGATGAAACTCAAATACTTTGACCACCTAATGAGAAGGAAGGACTCCCTGGAGAAGAGCCTAATGCTGGGAACGATCGATGGCAAAAGAAGGGGACGGCAGAGAATGAGGTGGCTAGATGGAGTCACTGAAGCAGTTGGTGTGAGCTTGGGTGGACTCTGGGGGATGGTGGAGGACAGGAAGGCCTGGAGGAATGTTGCCCTTGGGGTCGCGATGGGTTGGACACGACTTCATGACTAACAACAACAACAACAACAATGTTTTTTTCAAGTTGTTTGCAGACTGATTGCTTTACAATCTTCTCCAGAACTTTCCCAGGGATTGATGTCAGACTGACTGCTCTGTAGTTCCCAGGTTCTTTTCTCCCCCACTTTCTCAAAGATAGGAACAACATTTGCCCTTCTCTAGTTATCTGACATTTCTGCTGTTCCTCATGATTTCTCAAAGATAATAGAGAGTGGTTCTGAAAGTCCTTCTGCCAACTCCTTTTTGATTCTAGGATGGAGTTCATCGGGCCGTGGAGATTTGAACTCATCCAATTAGATGATCCTTGACCATTTGCCTGTCAATATTGAGCTGCCAGCTTGCTCTATCAAGCCTATACTTCCCCTTCATCAGGAAAGTCATAGATCTTCTTTTGGGAAAAGACTGAGGCAAAGTAGGAATTGATGACTTCTGCCTTTTCTTTGTCATCTGTTATCATTTTGCCATCCATATTGAGTAGTTGAACCCCCACTTCTTTCCTCTGTCTTTTCCTTTGGACATATCTGAAGAAGGCCTTTTTGTTACTTTTACCATCCCCCACGAGTGTAGGTTCATTACCAGCTTTAGCCTTCCTGATGCCTTCCCTTAAATTCCTTGCTACCTGCCTGTATTCTTCCTTTGTAACTTGGTCTTTCTTCCATATCCTATACATAGCTTTTTAGTTTTCACAACATATTTTAAGCTTTTTGTGAACTACATGGGCTTCTTCTGTTGTCTTCTATCATTTTTCCTTGTTGGAGCTGATCAAGGTGTGTTCCCTGAGTCATACACAACCACTTTTGAGGTGAGCTGGACACAGTGAAGTTCTGCCTTCATCACTTCATCCAGAGCACTGCTAAGATTGTGTCATGTTATCTTGGAATATTATCACTGATGGAGAACTTTCACAAAGCTGCTTGACTACAGAAACACTAAAGTGAACAGGAGCATCCTTTTATGGCAGATGGTATATCATTCTATGAAAAACTGATTCCAATTTAAGCATTCCTATTTGTTTCTAGATTTTCTTAGTGTCATTCCTCTATGATTCACCTGTTGAATAGAATCCTAGACTCAGAAGCAGGTCTTGTAAGCCTTCTAGGTCAGCTTCTGGAGCTAGAACATTCCCAACAGATGGCTGTCCAAGGGAAAGCCACCAGGCCTCTAGGTCAGGGGTAGACATTGGCCACATTTCTTGATTCCCTGCCTCCTCATACTTTTTAAATGCATTTTCTTACTGGTAACTGGGGTGGCTTCTAAGGGCATCCAAAGAGCTGCCCTTTTCATTTCCCACAAACGCCGCTGGATTCAGGAATATCCTTAGGGAATGAAGGCAGCTGGCCCCTCTGACTAGCCACACCTTCCCTCACAGCCATTTTGTGATGGTGACCAAAACAGTTTCTCAAATTACCAAATGTGTCCATGGACCTCAAACACCACTCTGAGGAATTGGCTCAATGGTCAAACTGCTTCTACAATTAAGAGGTGTCTCCTAATGTTCCACCAGCATCTACTACCCTGAAAGTTCTCCCCATTCACAGAAGCCACAGACTCTTGATTTCTGTACTAGAAGGATAGAGAGATAGTTCAAGCATGTTCAAATAAGGAGCTCCAAAGTGCCAGCAAAAGGAGTAGGTTTGCCTTTTAAAATGTCAAGATACATATTTATATGGTGTTCGCTTCAAAATCATGAATCCAACTATAGCATTGGGTTGTGACTTTTCCTCCTCCTCTCACCTGCTTTTAAAACAATAGCATAGTTTGGTATTAAGGCTGACATTTTTGTTTTAGTGAGCAAAATAATTCCAGGCAAAAGCACAAGAATTCATTAAAGCCACCAGTAAAATATCACATTTCTTTATTTAAAGAATTATTACTGTAACCTATACTTTATGCACCCAAAAAGACTTGTCTACAAGCAGGAAGTGGGGACATTGCAGCTCCAATTCCCATCAGCCAGTGGTCAAGGGTGATAGGAGTTTTAGTCCAGCAACATCTGGATGCCCAGGAGTACTCCACCTCTGGTCTAGTACTTTCATCTGGTGGTGTTTGCTTTTCTAAAACCCAGCAAGGACAAGTTCAGGTGGGTTTCACTAGGAAGCAGTTTTAGCAGGGGGTAAGGCTGCAAGGAACAGACAAGTGCCTGAGGCACTGCTTGAAATGAGAGGTGTCTGAGCAAGGCCTCCCCAGTAGAATTCAATGGGAAGAGGCACTCTCTTATCTGTGGCAGCTTCAGATGTCTTCAGTGCTTGAAACAAAAAGTTAAAATAACACCTCTCCACCTGCTGCAAACAAACACACTTTTTAATGATCACTGAGATGGAAGCTGGAAGCAGGAAAGTAGTGCTTGTACTGTAATTTGCGCTGAAAGTCATGCTTTTGTTTGCTGAATCCTAAGATTGGCCCCGGGCATCCAAGGCTGCATGTCATGAGGAGCCTTGGAGGTTCTAGCCAGAAGTTGGTGAATGCCACTTCCCTATTCAAGGCAGGTGTGTGCAGACACACACTCCAGCTGGTTTGGTGAGGGGCAGCTGAATGCATGCACTGATTCCACAATGTGATGGAGATCATACAGAGACCTGCCCCTTCTGTTAGACTGGAGGTGGCTTATTCACACTTACACAAGATGCCACAAGATTGCAGCCATCACATGATTTGGGTGGCCTTGTGGCTTTGCCAAAATGTGGATAAAAGAGGGCATGGATTTGCATAATGTCTCCATTTGTAGCTGTAGATATAGATAGATAGATAGATAGATAGATAGATAGATAGATAGATAGATAGATAGATGCAAAAGGGTGGAAATAATTAGGATAATTCAAGTTTCGCCACAGCACAGAAGAACCTTACCAGGTAGCCTGGGTGTCCTGCTCAGTCTGCTATCCAGGTGAGAACAACAGCTGATGGCCAGTTTTGAAATGCCTGCTCTCCTGTCTCGTGATTTTTTAAAAATATTTGACCCAGATACCCTTCAAACAGAAGACAGTCTGCTAAGCAGGACACAGGGGCACCTTACATGTGATTGACATTACATTTTTTTATTCAGCTCCCAGCCTTTCCAAAATGCTATTATTTGGAATCACAAGGTTGAATATGCTTTGTCTGATTGTTCACTTGGCGCACACAACTGTCTACCACCAGTATTACCCAATGCTTATGGAATCTGTGATGGTCCAACAGGGCATGTATGCATGAAATGCGATGTTCGTAGGCCTGTATAGCACAGTTGTACTCTATTTGAGAAATCAGCCTTATGATCTGGAGCTATGCAAACAGTGTGACGCACACATATACCCTAACAGGTCATTTCATTACCACTAAGAAACCAGATGATGTGGGTAGCCATTGAAAAAGAAGTATATCAAGATCCTGCAATCTGCAGTACTGCCAACACAACAAATTCAGTTTCTTTTATTTACTTATCTTTTCTTTCTAGTCTTAAAAACAGTTTAAAATGTAAATCAGTGTGAAATAAAAATGACTCCCATCTCTAAATATCCATATTTCTCTTTTTAGATATTCTGTAGATCGCCACACTGATATGGACAGAATATTCAACATTGATTCTGGAAATGGATCAATATTTACTTCCAAACCTCTTGACCGGGAAACACTGCTGTGGCACAACATTACAGTAATAGCTGCCGAGATCAGTAAGTTGTACATGAGCACCATTGTTGTGACGAAGGCCCTTTCCAGTGAGGCTGCATGAAAGGAAGGCAGGCTCCATGCTTTGGTTGTTTGCTGCTTTTCAAGGAAGCCAACCTGAAAAGGCTCCTGTATTCCGCCAACCCCCACCCCACTTTCTTCCCCACAGCTACAAAGGGGCAAGTTTGTGCCTGAACAGGAAGAAAATGAACATGCCACTCATTTTTGAGCAAATAGACCAGATAAGTCCTCCTGACAATTAATTAATTAATTAAGGTGGGATTGCTGGTTTGTGAAAAGCTACATAGATCATATTAAGATTGCATTAAGATAATAATGCAACTTTTACCAGCAAAATTCGGCCCTGTGCCATTGAAAGGCTTTCATCTAAAAGTAATTATTGCTGCAACAATCTCTCATGACTTCAGGCCATGTTCCCTAAACCTCAGCCCTGGACAAATACACTTACAACTAGGTCCAGCCTCTGGGTACAGTCTTTTGTTGACCCCAAAGCAATTCCTGTTGTATTTCTGGTGGTTTGTAAAATGTATCCAGAGTTTTATTACCTGGTTCCTCTGGGGTGAACTTTGAAGACTCTTGCATAGTACATCCCCCTGTTCCCTACACAAGGGCCTTCACAAGTCACTTACAGCCCCAGATAAAGAACGGTTTAATATTCAAGCCTTCACGGTTCATTTTTTCCCTCAACATCTTCCCAGATTGTACAAGAATGCTCATCAATTTACTGAGCTTCTCTTCACTCTCTACAGAGAAACTACCAACTGTCATATCTTAACTCTCCATTTTGAATTGCTCTTTTCTACCTCGTTAGAATCCCCAGCCAATCAGAATTGCATTTAGTTCAGGCCCCATCTGACAGTATTCAAAATTATTGTCTCTCTCACTCCCTCTTCAGAAGCTCATCACGTTACTGCTACCCAGGGCCTTGACACTAACAAAGCAAGGCTTTTGAACACCTCATGTACATTATTGCATCAAAGAGACCACACCAAGTCAACGCTACGTATGATAACAGGCCTTGCAGACATATTCAGCCCTTTTTGGTGCCTCTACATTTTGCTGTGTTACAACCTAGAATTAAAATGGATTTAATTGGCATTGTTACCATTGATGTACATAAGATCCTCAACATTGAGAAGGTGCAAGTTTTTTTTTATTGTGGTATAAAAGTTAAAGAAACAAAAACAAACCTGCAGTTGTTGGAAGCGTAATGAAATTATTGGTAGAAGTACCTTTTGTAGCAATTACAGCTGTGAGTCTACTTGGGTAAGCCACTATCAGCTTTGCCCATCTGGATTGTGCAGTATTTGCCCATTCTTCCGGACAGTATTGCTGCAGCTCGGTCAGGTTGGATGGGGAGTATCTATCAAGAGCAGTTCTCAGGTCTTGCTGCAGATTCCAGCCAATGAGAAGACATTCAGGTTCTGAGTTTATACCACCCCAGTGTTACTTTGGCTGTGTTTGTAAGGTCATTGACCTGTTGGAAGATGAACCTTCACCCCAGTCTGAGGTCCCTTGCAGAGGCAAACAGGTTTTCCTTTAGAATTGCCCTATATTCAGCTCCTCCATCTTGCCCTTAATCCTGACCCATTTCCCAGTCTGTGCTGAGGAAAAGCATCCCTCACACCAATGATGTTGCCACCACATATTCTTCACTGTAGGAATGGTATCATCAGGCTAATGAGCACTGTTGACTTTGCACCACACAAAGCATCTTACAGTAAAGCCAAAAGAGATCAGTTTCAGTCTCATTGGTCCAGAGAACGCTTTTCTACTTATTTGTGTGGCCAGCTAGAAAGGGGCATTTGATACAGGTTTGTTTCAACAATAGCTTTCTTCACACCAGTCTTCCATAAAGCCCAGATCTGTGGAGCATCCAAATAATAGTTGACCCATTGACATTTTATCCCACCTTGGCTGCAGAACTCTTCCGTTGTTTCAGAATTACTTCTTTTATTTGCTTCTTTAATTAATGCCCTTCTTACCCAGTCACTGAGCTTTGGCAGATGACTTTCTTTAGGCAGAGACATAACTAAGCCATGTTCTTTCCATTTTGTAATAATGAATATAATGGTGCTCCAGGGCAGCATGTTCATTGATTATTATTATTATTATTATTATTATTATTATTATTATTATTATTAAGCCGTGTAATCCAACCCTGATTGGTGAACCAGCACAAATTTATCCTGGAATTGGCTTGATAGTTGCTTGGTCTTCTTGATGCTGTTAAAATATACTAGTTAACAAATGCTGGGCACTTTCAGAAACAGTTGTATTTAATCTGAGATCACATGGTGCTGGAGTTGCACACAGGTGGACACTGTTCAACTACTTACAGTGCAATTTCTGGAGGTGGAGGGTTGCACCGGAGTTAATGCAGGCATGTCAAAGCAAATCGGGTGAATACTTATGCCAGCACGTGCCAGGCTGTTTTTGTTTCCTTAATTTTTGTACCACAATAAAAATATTCTGTACCTTCACACTTTGTGCATCTTGTGTACATCAAGTGGTAACTCTACCAAGTCAATCTATTTTAGTTCCATGTTGCAATGTAACAAAACATGGATAAGTCAAAGGGGTGTTTGAATACTCCCTCAAAGGACTCTAACAACAGTGGTTATACACAAGGTTTGCTTTGGGCTGCAACCTTGAATTTTTCTACCTGTAGGACGTCCCTTATGCTAACAAGACATTTGTAGGTATGTGCATGTTAGCCAACCCCTGCTCAGCCAAAGAAATTTAGAAGCAATTGTGATGAGGAGTTCCACCATCATGTTATATGGCTCTATGCCCTTGTATGGGGTGTATGAGAAATCACTCTCCAAATACTGGATTCTGTTTTTTGAAATGTGCCCTGGCGACAATGTCTGTGAGTTAAATTGGATGTACAACTTTCATTTGGACCTTTCTGACCTACACATGAGTCCAAAGAAGACAACAAAAGAGGAAGAAATAGCATTCAGATTTGCAGTTCACACTTGACTTCCAGTTGAGAGCTCTCAAGTTTTGAATGATGAATTTTCTATGCCTGAGAGCTATGAAAGGTGAAACAGCAACTCTACTGCAGAAAGCACTTCAAAAGCCAAGATCAAGAGAAATTTAGGATTTCAGGCCCTAGTTTGATAGATGCTACATGAATAACTAAGAAAGGTGTGTTTACATTATGCATTGAGAGGAAGAGAGGAGGGAGCTGCCTGTTCCATACAGTAGCACTATTTCCTTTTTTCTTCTTTCTGCTTTTTCATTTTTGTTTCTTTTTTTATCCTCCCCACAACACACATACTCACACTTCTTTTTTGGAGAAAAATCAAGTGACAATTTATAATAGACTAATGAAGAAGATAGATTATTGAAGAAAAAGGCTTGGGAAGGAGGGAGAGAAGGGGAAGAGATTAAAACCAATGAAGCATCACGTTTGCATAAGCCTATAGGAAAATGGAGATAGCTGATAACCGCTGCTCAAGAGCAGTTTGCTTGCAGGAGAAGATAACTGCACATTTCTAAGCAAGTGTCTCCTATTGCCTACATCCCTGCATTTTTGTTACATGCAGCTCTCAGATTCACAGCTGTTAGACCAGCCTTCGCAGCCTGGTACCCCCCAGATGTGTTACCCAGCTCTGGGGTAAAGGGAGTGGCCCTCCCACGCACCTTGAGGACACAGATTTGGGAAAGGCTGCATTAGAGTATGCAAGGAAATGCCCGGACTTCATACCGAGAGGTTGCCATGCAAAACGCAGTTTACAGGAAGTGAGTCTTCTGGAACTCACTGGGAGATCTGCCAGAGCTTTTTCAAGGAAATCATTTGCTGTGTCCCATGCGTCTTTGCTTACTTGTAGGAACTTTACATGATGTTGTCCTCTCAGGCCTCTCCCACATTTTGTTTGTTTGTTTTTGTTTTGTTATGTTTTTTGCTTTTGTTTTGGAATGAGGACAATTATCCACCTTCTAGGCTAAAACAAGCCCAAGATGCATGGCAATAGAATGGATTGAAACTCTCTGGCAGACCACTTCTGAATGTGCTCCTTCGCCAACCTTGCAAGTACACTGGCATAACGGGAAGAAGGCTAGCTAGAGCCCTCCCTCCACAACTGCTTTTGGTCTTGCTTTGCTCACAGATACGTTTTATTAGCAGGATGAGAATTTAGACCTGGCAAACAGACATGCCCGCAGACTGAAGTGGTACAGTCCAATCACTCACTTCCTTCTGGTGCATGTATAAAAGATGCACCAGAGAGGGGGTGGCTGAATGGCATTGAAAAGTGTGAGGCCTTCCCATATTGCTTCTGCTGCTCATAGTTAGGGAAGGGCTTTTAAAGACTCTTCTGGCTGGATCTCAACGTGTGGCTGCACATTCCAAACCAAATATATTTTTAAAAAATGCATCCAGAGCAGCCATTTTAACCTCTTTTTATGCCTGAAGCAGAGAGGGCTAATTTTGACCCTAATGAAAGTGATAGAGGAGGAAGGTTGGCCCCACAAGGCAGAAGGTGTGGTCCATGGTGGTCTGAGGAGCAAAATTGGTCCCAGGTCTCCTGAAGTTCCCCACCCATGATGACAGTGCAAATCAATGGCATATAGCGCAGCTGTCTGCCTTTCAGCCTTGCTTAAAACAGAGCCCGCTCCTACCTCCTCCTTCTCTGCTTCTTCTTTCCTGAAGCTCATTGTGATTTACTGCAACCTGGCAGATGAAGTTTCGAAAACATCACACTTCTTGTCCTATACTTCATCTGCATGTACATATCTATAGGAGATCAGTCAACCAAGCATGTTTAATAGATCATAAAATTCACAAATGAGGGTTTTAATCACACCTTGTTAAAATGTATAGGAGACTATGGGAGAGTGGAAGGAGGTCCTAGATGTCGTTGAGGCCCCATCGGTGCGGGTGTTCAAGGATAGGCTGGACGTGCACATGGTGGGCATGTCATGAGCAGAGCCGGCTGGTGCCGGAGGTCAGACTAGATGGCCCAGGAGACCCCTTCTGACTCGCTCTGTTTCTATGTTTCTATGTAATCCCCGCAGCTCCAGGCAAGGCTCAGAAAGAATCTTCCCTGAAACCATGGGAAGCCATGGCTGCCAGTCAATTGGGTAATACTGCACTGTGGGTCAGATTCGACTTCTATGTTTGCTTAAAGTAAGCTGAGGAGTGGCTCAGATGAGCACATTCAGATTGTCAGTGTAGGTGATAGAATTTCTACCTTCATTTTAGAGACAGTTGCAATACTGTATGTCTATGGCTGCACATAAGAGCATAAGAAAAGCCATGCTGGATCAGACCAAAGGTCCATCTAGTCCAACATTCTGTACACATGGTGGCAACCCAGCTACCCACAGGATCCTCAAGCAGGATGGGAGCAAAATCTCTTCCTGTCCAAGTTTCTCAGCACCTAGTACATGCAATCATGCCACTTCTGATGAAGAAGGGAACTCATAGCCAGCAAGGCTAGTACCACTGACAGCTTCCTTCTACATGGACCTTCCAATTCCCCTTTAAACCATCCAGATAGGTGGCTAACATCACTTCATGCTTCAGCGAATTCCATAGTTAAACTATACCTTTAACTCAAATGACTTTTCAGCTTTTAACTCACAGAAATGATTACATGTAGTAATAAAGGCACAATCACTAGAAAAAGGCTTTCCCTGGCCTTCTCTTTTTGCAGACAACCCAAAGGAAAGCAGCCGTGTCCCAGTGTTTGTCAAAGTCCTGGATGTCAATGACAATGCCCCAGAGTTTGCCATGTTTTACGAAACCTTCGTCTGTGAAAACGCAAAGGCTGATCAGGTCTGTGGTTTCTGTTACTTCGTAAGAAATAAATATATAGTTTTTAATACAGTGTGCAGTAGGCATCAGTGTAGCTCCTTCCAGGAATGCCAAGTGCAATCAAGCTATTCTGGTGTCTTCTCGAGTACCCAATGTGACACTGCATTTGACAAAGTTCACTGGAGTTGCTTCTTGTACTCGGATGTGTCATCTCCCTTTCTCCCTTTCTTTCTAAAAAGGATAATGAGGGAGGGAGAGCCATGTTCTGTGCAGTGCATCTCCCGGCATATCAATTGCAGATCTGGACAAATGGTCTGCACCCCAGTTATATACTGTGTTCCTCAGTTGTCTGATACATCACTGCTAACAGACTGATTGCTCCAACTTTGCTCCTTCTGAATGGTAATTGACGCACAAGGTCTTGGTGTCAAAGAGTATGAATGCCACACTGACACTATCATAATTCTGTTTTCAATTTTTAGCTTATACAGACCCTGAGTGCAGTTGACAAAGATGATGCTTTTGGTGGACACAAATTTTCATTCGCATTGGCCCCTGAAGTAGCCAGTAGCTCTAATTTCACCCTTCAGGACAACCGAGGTATGCTTGCTTTTCCATCTAATTCTCTTTCCTTCTATGTCCTTGGGTTTTAATATTCAGAATCATGGTATAACTAGGACCTTGACCTCACAAGCTTCCACAGCTACCAAACAAAGGACTGCCCAGAGGTTGGGCAATGTTGACAGCAACAGCAGCATGCTTATTCCTGTAGTTATGAAGCTGCAATGATGGAAGGGAGTTTGAAAGGTAAAACTGCACATGCAGAGAGTATTTTTGAAAATATATATTTCAATCAGGTTGGCAAGCATTTTTGTTCCACTGTTTTTCTAACATACCAGGGATGTAGATGTGTGGGATGGTGGTTGGATGGGTTAAGAGAAATGCAAATTGTGTGCGTCACAAGTGAAATATGCATAGGACCATCTAAAAGGGACCGCTAAAAGACCATTTAGTCCATCGTCTGAAGATAATGAACTGCTTTACCAGTTCAAAAAGGACGTACCTCTTATGATATTGATGCATCTTTTCAGATAACACAGCCGGGATTTTCACAAGAAGAACCAGATACAGCAGACATGAAATGAACATGTACCTCTTGCCTATGGTAATATCTGACAATGAATATCCAATTCAGAGCAGTACAGAGACGGTGACGATCCGGGTGTGTGCTTGTGACCAGCGAGGCAAAATGCTCTCCTGTAATGCAGAAGCACTGATCCACCCAACGGGCCTTAGCACCGGCGCTCTGATTGCAATTCTCCTCTGCATCATTATATTGCTAGGTAAAGGGCTCCCATGAATCGGTCTCTGTGGTGGGGAAGGGGAAAAGGAACAACTCCCAGCAAATGGCCAGAACATATGTATGTGTGTTGCACACTGATGCAACTGGCAAGTGAAATCACTCCATATAGACTATGCAGCTTTTTTGAAGTTCATCCTAGCAAGCTGCTGGACACCCATTATTTTGCCTGTACAATTATCAGTATTTTGTGCATCAGTCAGTGGTGACCGATGCACAATGTGCGGACAATTATACGTACGGTCAGCTCCACTTATCTGCCTCAGTTATTCACTTGCCAGATAGACTCACAACCCATTACAAGCCAGCAGCCTACTTCCCTCCACACAGCAAGCCAGGTATCAAACAGATGTACAGCTGCATCCCCACCAACCTTGAACCACACCAACATGCACTTGCTAAATGACTAATGCAGAACTGCTATGTCTCTGAATGCCACTAGGAATGTGCTGAAACTGGGATCAACAGATTCCCTGCCCAATTCCAATCTGATGATTAGAAATGGCTTCAGTGAGATGGGGTTCATGCATTTCCATTTTTAAGATGGGCTGCAATCTGTCTTTAACCACCAATGAATTTTGTGCAAATAAGCAGATGAAAATCACATGGCTCTAGCATGTTTTGTGCAGATCAGCCAAATTGAGCAAATCATAATTTGCACACAATGTGATTTGCACAAATCAGCTGATTCTATACAAACTGTGCTAGAGTCACATTGGTTTTGAATGTTTACTTGTGCAAATTTGATTACAAGTTAACCAAATGTGCCAGTTGTGGTCCATCTTAGAGACAGAAGTTCTTCAACGGGCTCAACTTCCACCACAGCAAGTTGGCACCAGTGCAAAGCTAATGAACTGGAATTTGGGAGACTGAATTTGGATTCCTCACATATCCCCACTGTGTATATCCGTTGCTGCAGAATATAATGTACAGGATGCTATTGCCTCATTTCCTACTTGTGGACTTCCCTTAGGCAGCTGGTTGACCCCTAGGAGAACAGAACGCTGAACTTTGGCCTGGGATAACTGTACACAGTCCTACAGATCCATATAATCCAAAATTCACCAGCCAGGATGTTGTGGACATGCCAATAAAGCAATTCAGCTCACTGAGGCAGTTTATGAGCATCAGCTATAGATATCCTGGTCCTAGTGACTGTAGAGTCATCATTGCCTAGTGAGAGGTAGGCTGCATTCCCCAAGATGCAAAGACTTCATTGTGCCCAGTTGGAGATACCGTCTTTCTGCCCCATCCTATATGTTAGCTGCTTGTGCCTCATCAGAAGGCACTATTAAGCATGCTCTACCATTTGGACTGCACAAGGAAGCAGCTGTGAAGTTTGAAATGACAATTATTTGGATCTCAAGTAAGTGCTGAAATGAAAGAAAAGTGTAACATACAAGATTTTCAGTTAATGGATCTGATATCTTTCATTTATTTATTTATTTAGTGTTGTGTTTTCAAGCTTCGCATCCTCAGCACTGAAAAAAGATTCTGGAAAAAGTGGCCTACAATTCCTATTTTAAACAAACAAACAAAAAACAAAGGCGGACAACTTTTGGTAGTTTCTTTTATTTGTTTCTGGTTGCATGATGGATTTTACTTTCAACCTAGGCTTTTGTGGTTTTGTTGTTTTGGTTTTCCTGCAAAATCCCAGATAATACTAAGGGCTGCTGGGTTCACAAAGAAACGAACCACCATTCAGCTTTACATTTATGTTAACATTTGATTGAGGATCAAGAGTGCTTCTTTTACAAGTTCAGAGTAAAAGAAAAGCTGAGTATCAAAAGCAGATGTTTCCATACATTTGACTCACTGGGTGGATTCACACATCATGCTAAGCCACCCCGTGAATAAGCTGGCAGTGGGCTACTTCTGTGCGGAACGCAGGGTGCACCTGAAAGGCCATCAGGCTCGTGGTGGGTTGTTCACCTTCTTACCATTCACTCTTCCAAATGGCTTTGGCACACACCACAGTTCTCTTTGCAGAAGAATGCATCTTGTGTCTTCCTCCCTCCTCTGATCACTACCCTTTTCATTTATCGCCGTTGCAATTTTTGCCGCCTCAAAAATGCAACTGGAATTGCATTCGTTTTTTAAAAAAAAATATCGGTCCCTAAAAATTGCACTTTTAAAATTATTTTATTGGCCGTCCTCAACAAGCACAAAATTGCATGTTTGCCTGATACATGTGGTCCTGCTTGGTCGATTCCCTCATTTGTTTCCTAAAGAAAAGAAGTTGAGACTGCATATAGGTTAATTTGTGCACAGTCCACTACTGTCATTTGCCTGCCTCTCACCTGCAAAGGTCAAGTCTCTGGGGGCAAGACGGGGAATGTTGGTGCACCAAAAGTGGGTGGCACCAGTATCACCCTTGTAGCAATGTAATCCCCTTTGACTTTGATTGTTGGACTGGCCATTCTTTGTGATTTCTACCTTTACAACTCTTCCACCCCAAGTCTCTAGATACTCCTTCAGTTCCTTCATTGTTCTTAGGTAAGAAAGGGGGGAAAAGCCCTATGCAATACAGACACTCATGTGGTAGTTGAGAGTAAATGAAGCGGTAATTTGTGCACTTGCGCTAATTGCTCCAAAAGGATGGAGGGGTTAATATTTTTCCTGTCTGGAGCAGCTGGAGACTGGGAAGGCCCTTTACTGGCCATTTTCTATTCATAGCTAGGCACCTGGTCCCTGACAACTGTGTGCAAATTAGCATATGCGCAGTCTCACCTTGCACTGGATAACTGCAAACACATTTTTTAAAAAAATCTAAATTTTTAAAAGATGGTGGAGCCAGAAAAAGTACATCCCCAGTTGTCCTATTTCAGACTACAATTCAACAGGAGTAAATCAAGGTTCTTCCAGAGTTCCATTTGGGTATCAGTGGAAGGGTAAAGTTTGATAATGTAACATCTAATTAAGTGTCAAATAGCTCCTAGAACATGCCATGGGCTCCCAGGATGACACATGCTTGAAAATCAAGCCACTCTGTAGAAGCTGTGCCTGGTTTGGATGACACTACAACCCCCATGGCTCCTTGCTCTTAGTGGGTTGCTGTCATATGAACTAGGTTATTGAGTGACTGACAGAATCCAGCCTGAACATTCATTTCTTCCCATGCAAATACATTCATATTAATGTTAAAGATGCAGGTTTAAAACAAACAAGCAAACAAAACCAAACCAGCTTTGTGTTTTTGAGCTGGCTGACATTGGATACGAATATTTAGCAAAAGACAATTTTGTTGTGGAGAGGATGCAATGAATAGGCAACAATAACAATAGCGGCAGCGGCAGCAGCAACATGCTGAATATGTTGGTCAGAAGAACTGACCAAGTCCAGGCTCTTGAGAGTGATGACAGCAGGTATTTGTCCTGGCCCAGCTATGGACAAATGGGGGCAATACATAAATAGATTACTCATTATCAGAGTGCACAGAACATCCCAGTAGCTGTGTAGAGAATAAAGGGAGGATCCCTAGCTCAGTAGCAGAGTACCTGCAAAAAGTCACAGGCTCAACCCCTGGTGGGCAGGCACCTCCAATTAAAGAATATCAGCAGGTGTTAGGAAGGGCCTCTGTTAGAAAGATGTTGTCAATCAAATTTATTAGGCAATTCTGGGTGAGATGGGCAGATGCTCAGGTAGGGTCAGGAACATCTTATGTTTCCTGATTTAAGATTCACATTCTCTTCTAGGCTGAAGAGGTCAGGGGCCCAACAGTACCTTGCTTCAGGGTGCCTATAATCAGCACTGATTAATCCTTAATATTCCCTGCAACAGGAATCCAAATGCATCATCTGTCTTAGGGCTGCCAGTCATAGTAAGGACAAAACTCAGCATTACCTCTCCTATCCATTTTCATGCTTTTAAAGATGTGTTTTGTGAAGCACTGGGGTAAGGAGAACAGTCAAAGCCTCTGCCTGAGAGCACAGTTAAGCATCCACTTAGCTCTATACTGTTTCACTGTCATGCCTTCACAAAAAAGAAAAATTAGGAATTTATGTGTGGTAAGAGTTCTCAGGTGATCTCTCACCTTTCTCACCGAACTACACAGCCCCGGGATTCTGTGGAGAAAGGCAATTTGTGGGACCTACATGTTCCTTGAAAATGCAAAACAAACAATACAAAACAGCAGAGCAGCCTTGAGGATCTTTGCCAGTTGAATTTATGGCAGTCCTCTCAGTATCAGCATCCACATCAACGCCTACCTGAGCCACTCTGAAGTGGCTTGGGATCCCTTTTGAGGCAAATCCTCACACCTGAGACCCCTGGCTGTTGTGTGTGGCTGAACCCAGGTCAGAGTCTATCCTTGGCAATCGGTGGCCCTGGGGCCAGATCTAGCCTCTGAACAGACACTGCCTGACCTCATCACTCTTATACCTATCAATGTTCACAGCATCCTTAGGGACCACTGAGATGAGGAAAGGGCCACAGGAAGCAACAGGGAGAATACCAAGAAATGTTCTTTGTTTTTCTCAAGGAAAGAAAAAAAGAAGGCCAAGTATTCTTTGTTTCTTCTTCTTCCTTAAATTATACTGCCAATGTGGCATCCCACCTTGAAAAGAAACAAAGCTATGTGCTTTCTCTAGAGAACAAATGCCAAAGCATTTCAGGAGTTCAGCGTTAGTCATTCGATGGGACTCGCTTCTCCTTTTTTCCTTTTGTCTGCCTTGAAACTGCATTTGTGATTTCGAAAAGATAGTTTCCTTGCTTCACAAAGTAAAACAAAACAAACAAAAAACATTTATTGCTGATAAAAAATAGCTGTGCTTCATCTTCCTTTTCACGTGAAATTCCATTGCATTCCTATTTATAGGATAGTATTTATCCTATTTTCAGTTCCCACAGTGATCATACTAGGATCAGTTCAGGTGTGAGAATGTAGGCTTGCAGTGCTCCATTTGGCAAGTCTTCCTGTAAAAAACAAGGGTCAAGCAATATAGAATTCATCTTTGATTTGTCTGGTTCTAATTGGGTGGAAAATTACTAACCCCTCCCTCAAGCCTGGTTTGTTTTTCCTTTTCAGTTACAGTGGTTCTGTTCGCAGCCCTGAGAAGGCAACGGAAGAAAGAGCCTTTGATCATCTCCAAAGAAGACATCCGAGACAACATTGTCAGTTACAACGATGAAGGTGGTGGAGAGGAAGACACCCAAGCCTTTGATATTGGCACACTGCGTAACCCTGAAGCCATAGAAGACAATAAATTGCGCCGAGACATTGTGCCAGAAACGCTTTTCATGCCCCGCCGGACTCCAGTGGTACGAGATAACACTGATGTCAGAGATTTCATTAGCCAAAGGTTAAAGGAGAATGATACGGATCCGACAGCACCCCCATATGACTCATTAGCAACATATGCATATGAAGGCAATGGTTCTGTGGCAGAATCTCTCAGCTCCTTGGAGTCAGTGACAACAGATGGAGACCAGGACTATGATTACCTCAGTGACTGGGGACCTCGGTTTAAAAAGTTGGCCGATATGTATGGTGGAGCAGACAGTGATAAAGACTCTTAATATGTTGCCTTTTTTCATTTCCAAGAAACAGCATTGAAATGTGCGACGTTGCTACTTCTTTCTATTTATCCACAGTTCTCTGAAAGGGTTCTCTATTCTACCAGTTCAAATTGTTTCCGTGACTGCAGTCTTTGTGGATCTAATGTCATTCTCCACTCCCAAATATAATTTGCGCTTCCGTGAGGCAAATAATGAGGAAACACAAAGGATGGTTGGGGGGGGGCAGGGTTGGCTTTTTTTGGGGGGGTGCATCCTGTTTACCTAGGCAGTTAAATAGACACAATGGCAAGGAAATTGAGGGACACCAGGAACAGAAACAGAATAATAGTTTAAATTGTTCTTCTTATCTTGTAAATTGGATTATCTTACTGTTATGGTTCACCAAATAATCTTACTGTATTTTAATTATTCAGCTCAGACATATTTTCTGCAGATTATATATTTAAATACCCCCATTGTAAGAAAGTATTGTGGCTTAGCATAGCTATTCCAGTGAAGGAAAGGAGGAGAGCATAACCCTTTTAAAACCCACAATCTGCCTACAACGGTCTAATATATTTTAGATGATCTACTGACCATTCAAGTATTAGTGTTAATATTGAATCGGTCACTTTAATTGTCAAAGCATTACACCATAGGAGTTGTTGACAATCATGAGCTGGAGCGAACAGCGCACAGTTGGTGTATGCTGCAGGGAGCTCTCACTGGGTTTACCAGGTGTGCCATAGGAGTGCGCCATGTTTAAGGTATGGTGTTCCTGCAAAGCCTTCCACCAGAGACAATGTGAGAGATATTGAGAAAGGGACATGAGCATGGCATTTGATTCAGATATAGTCATACTTGGAACATGCCCATTCAAATTGATTGGTTCTAGTTAACCTAAGTCCCATTTATTTCAATGGTGCTACTCTTCTTAACTATGACTACATCTAGATCCAACTCATATATAAAGAGAGGTCAGCCGTGTTATTCAGCTCATTGGCTGGGAGTTCATATTAACCATGAGGCACGCTGAAGATGGATTTTCGTAGAAATCCTAGAATATCCCAAATGTTATGAATCAAACATAGAGGGGGTAGGGGGGAGCAAGAGAGAGAGAGAGAGAGAGAGAGAGAGAGAGAGAGAGAGATGAAAGTAAATAGAAAAGCGAAAGGCAGAGTAAGGAACAAGTGTTGATAAGACAATAGGTCAGAACTCTGGTAAGTGAAAAGGTGGTACTCAGATTATGAGAAACAGTATGAAAAACTTGAACGAGTGTTATACAGTGTTGCCAGAATGGCTTTTTGACTTTTGGTCCACCTGGTTTGGATTGCCGACCAAACTGACCATAAGTCCCATCCGACTTGCTTGGGTGCTCTCTGCTTTTTAAAATGGCAGTATTCTAAATGATTTGTTTAAAATATGCTCCCTTTTTGCATTATAGTAGATCCAGTCTTCTGACAATTGTCTAGTTTCATATGCTTTAATGATTTCAGTTTTTTGGTTATATAGTTAGGGTGCAGAGGTTCTTACCTGCTGATCTATATAGGCAGAAAGTGTCTTCTGAATTAATCATGTGAAGTCCCCACTAAATGTGAATCTGCACTCCAGCCCTCTAGATCTGGTTGAAGCCTCTGTTGTAGCCATGACACCTGGTGGGACAGCAACCAAGCAGCACTCACTTCTATGGTTTGTAAAAGAGATTCAATAAGGCCAGAACTGGCATGACAAAAGCCCTTGGGAACCTTGCCAGGAGCTTCAGACAGCTGTAGGGTCAGGTCCATTGCTGTCATGTGCTCTTGGAAGTATGAAGCCATGATCACGGAAAGTCAGACCAGGTTCATGTGTTCCTAGGCATGTCTACTCAGAAGTAAGTCTCACTGAGTTCAAGTGAGTATCACTCCCACCTATGCATAGGATTGCAGCCTAAACATTGCTAAGAAATCAAGCTATGAATCCATTTACTTCTCCCTTTTGCCATAACCAGTATAAGTTGGATCTCTCCTATCATAACTACACACACTAAAGATGTGGGTATCAAAGGACTGTATTTAGAACATCCTTTTATAAAAGAGTATTTATTTGCCAAATTTGCCACTTCTTTCTCAGAGAGCAGAAGAGCAGTTTTGATATTACATTCCTGTAATAACATTTTAAAGGCAGGGATGCAAAATATGTTGAAAGAGATCCCTGTAAATGTGACTCTATCATGGAAAAAAAAACCTGAGGGAAAGTGTAGGACATCCATTTCCTAGATGTTTCAAAACACCTTCTAGAGCTATCAGCCACAGTAGTAACTAACCATTCCACCTGTTCCAGTTTGATGGTAAACAACCCTCCCCTACCTGGTGCCATCCATCTGTTTTGGACTACATCTCCCAGTGTGCTGGCTGGGGTTGATGACAGCTGAAGTTCAAACCATCTGGAAGGCCCCTGTTTGGAAAAGCTGTGCAGAATCATGTCTTTTGCTGGTTTTATTTTCTTCAGCTAAATATTTGCAAATGGGCAACTCCGCCTGCCCCTTGGAGGACTACTGACATTTGGAAAGAGGGATTCTGCACAAGCTTCAAAATTGTCAGACAATAATAGGGTAGAATAAATATATATGTAGATCTTACACTATGAGAAGTGAAGCCCCTCTCAAGTCCCTTACAATCCTTTATAAAAACTACTGTCAGTTGTCAGAATTTGAAACACAAATACAGGAATCATAAACCACCAGAACAAACCCTCAGTCAGGTCAATGGCTGTCCCTTACAACAAACAATTTACAAGATGCAGAAGTAATTAGTGAATTACTATTTCAGATTTTGGGTACATCTTGTCATCTACAGCTTGAATAGGTCACTTGAACAAAATACAGTGCTGCAAAAATAACCAATCCGAAAATTAGTGATACATCATGAAAGGTGAAGTATTTTAGTACAGTATTTACAAAAAATAAAATGATGTAGGTACTGCTCTTGAAATGAAACAATATTATTAATAGTAGATAGTGAAGAGGCTGATTTGAATACTAATCTGAAAGACCCTGTATGATGAGCAAGAACTGAAAACGGCAAATGGTTTTTGTATCCCCCCCCCCCCCCCCCGCTACGGTCAGAGCACACAACTGGATTGCTATTGCTCTGCCAAAGACCTTGGGTGATCTAGCTGCGGGGAAAATTAGCAAATACTTTTTATGGAGGGAGTAACAGGAAGAGAACTCTGTTGAGGAACTTGGTGCAATATAAGTCATGTAGATGCATTGGAATTGCAATTTGTAGGCTACAGTTTCCATTAGTTCCAGCCACCCTAGCTGATGGTGAGGGATCATAAGACTGTAAACCAAAATACCTGGAAGGTCACAAGTTGTCCACAGCTGGCCTAAGATGTAAAACCAGGCATGATCAGGACCAGTAATACCGTGATGAAGAAATAAAAGCTAACCAGTCAGTACAGGACAACTTTGAGGGTAGATGTACTCATGGGTCTGGGAGGCTAAGATCAACCAGGCTACTGATCAACTTGCCAGGAGCTCTTTCTGTTTGTTTGTTCTTAAGTGAAACATCCAGCATCTCCTGGGTGATGTGAGCCAAAACTGAGCAGGGCAGGATCCAGCATGATTTTTGATAGCTTCAGAAGTGAAAACATAAGGTAAAATAAAAAGCCTGTGGAATGCATGAACCTTTGCATGCCTCGGGTTGCAAGAAGCCTTCTCAGAATTCAGCCCTCTTCTGCTGGTCAGACTTCTTCTCATGCTTGCCCCTCACTGAAGAAATAGGCTGAGCCATGAGACATTCCAGGGACACTCATGGCACTCCAGTTGCACAAACGGCAACCTTCTTCCACAACATGTGAACTGCAAATGTAGGCCGCAAGTCACGTGTGTGGAAGGAGGCACTGCTTGCACAGTGTTTGTGTGGGCTCACTTCCTGGCGTGCACCCACGTGAATGTTCAGCACACTTACGTGGTGCCAAGTCATGAGGAAGGGGGCTGTGCAGCTGCTTCAGAGAGCCGAGCATGGGAATCTGATGGGCTCCCTCTCCCAAAAGGCACTCTTCACTCATCTCTTTGCATGCTTATATGCAGCACTGGGCTTCATTAGACTGGGCCAAATGGAGGGCCGTTGGCAAGGCATTGGGCACAGCATCCTATTGAATATTATATAGGCCATGGAAATGCGTGCCTTAAGTCGCACCATGCCAAATCAGCTGCAGAAGCTTAAGGCATTGAGTAGATTGTATGAACAAGCGTTGATTGTACTTTTTTCCCTGATATAGCAAATTCACTTTGATGGCTTAAGTTGATTTAGCTCGGATTAGCTACACTAACTCAGTGACACTTTGATGGCTTAAGCAGAAGTGCTCTCCTACCACCCCCGAATCAGTGACACTAAGTAGCAGGCAATTCTAGCTAGAACTTTGCATTTATTGACAAAGTGTTTTGCCTTGTCAATAAAATGACAGTAAGCCACCCACAGCTTGTGCATAAATATTATATAAACTATTTAACATACTGGCATCAAAATTAAGATGCCAAACTGAATAAAAAATGAATTATGGGATTCTCCAGGGGCTGACACATTCTGTATTAATCACCTGAAGTTTGCTCTTATCCATGCAATTTATGAGTATGGATTTTTCCACGAATAGGATTCTTTTGGCATCCACTCTTACTTTGTTGATATATGACTGCAGCCTTTGTATTTTTATCCTTAGTGTAAGATAAAGTGCAACTAAAAGCAAAACTCTGTGAAAAAACACTCCATGTCAAAGTGATAAGAAAAGAAGATGCATTATGACACTGAATAGCAGAAGGAAGTGTGAATACATACATTGATGCCATGTGAAAATACTATGAAAAAATAAGGCTGCACCATACAGGTCAAAGTGCACATTACATTCATTCTGTATTATGTAGCTAAACTTTTATTTTCCCTCAGTGTTTTTCCCTTGCTCGGGAACAATGCTCAGTGGGAAGAGGGGATTAAAACGCTCTACTTTTGTCTCTCAAAATTCCACCTCCAACATGGAGAGTC